CATCATCAGCCATGTGATTGTGCACCATGGAAGAGACACCTATCACAGACAAGTCAGTTGAGTTCTGCTAATAATCATACATAATGATTGGATTGTGATTCTGTTTGAAATTGAATGAAATTTTGCAAACTGAAGGCAGAAGAAAAATCCAGTTATAGAATCATAGACTCATAGAATCAAAGAGTTGGAAGAGACCTCATGGGCCATCCAGTCCAACCCCCTGCCAAGAAGCAGGAATATTGCATTCAAATCACCCCTGACAAATGGCCATCCAGCCTCTGCTTAAAAGCTTCCAAAGAAGGAGCCTCCACCACACTCCGGGGCAGAGAGTTCCACTGCTGAACGGCTCTCACAGTCAGGAAGTTCTTCCTAATGTTCAGATGGAATCTCCTCTCTTGTAGTTTGAAGCCATAGTTCTGCGTCCTAGTCTCCAAGGAAGCAGAAAACAAGCTTGCTCCCTCCTCCCTGTGGCTTCCTCTCACATATTTATACATGGCTATCATGTCTCCTCTCAGCCTTCTCTTCTTCAGGCTAAACATGAAGAGAACATCAGAAATAGAGTACTGGGGAGTGGCATTTTCTGTGTTCTCTGTAATTATTAACAGGAGAATCTTGTGCTTATCTGCTGAAAAGTAACCCCCGCTGAGTTCAGTGAGAGTCATTTCAGTAAATGCTGTGTTACATGAGCAAATGCTTTGACCTGTTTTAACATTCAAATCTGAACTTACTCCTTCAAACTCTATTTTGAGTCTCTTTGTGTGTGTCTTCTTGTGGTATTACCTACCACTGGAAATAATTATATTTGCCTTCATTAACTGTAGAGAAGATTGCTCTCCTTTTTGCATATCTTTTCTGTTACTTTTTCACCTCTGTTGTAAGTTTAAGGGATTGTGTTTATGTTTCTTTTCTTGATACCACCACAATTTAATGTAATATATGATGCAAAATACTAGCATCTGGTATGAGAGTGTGAGAATATTATAAGACTGATGAAAATGATACGGAGCATTTTGGGCAGCTACAGTGTGCTGCCGAAATTTTGCAGCATTATGGGACAGAAAACACAGGCTGATTTTCATGTCCTTCTGGGCCCACACATCTGTCTCCTTGATTCTGATTGTGCTAGAGATAAATGCGTGCAGTGGGTGGAGGGCTTTTGTTTGCATTTGAGTGGTTCAGATAAATTAAATCCAGTTTGGGTGGAGTCTCGAAGGTTGCCATTTGACTCTAAGCCACACCAGTAGAAGTTTAGGAGCTCCACCTCAAGACTTGACTAGACAGGTTGTTAGATTGGAACTCTGTGGGCACAGTCTTGAGTCTGTTTTGACTTAAGAGTGGAGTACAGAGGGCCTATTATGTGTGCTTGCACCTCCTCATGCTTTTGGCCCTTGCTAGGGAGTGCACATACACAAAGAGATAAGTTTCTCCTCTGGAAGAAGGCATACTGAGTGGGACCCTATCTGGCATGAGCAAATGTTGCCGGCACTGATATCAGGCAGATAGTCTGTACGTTTAAACTTCCCAGTAGCTTCCCTCTTTCTTTCCTCTCCTCCCTTTTGCTTCCAGTAAGTAAGGACAGAACAAAAGGCTGAACTGTCACTCTTGTTCGTTTATCAAACATATTTATTTCCACAGTGTAATTTTTGTCTTAAGAGCAATTACAAATCTCATTATCCTTAGAGATCATTGGCACCATCATTGGGTTTCTGTAGGTTTACCGGGCTGTATGGCCATATTCTAAAAGCATTCTCTCCTGACGTTTCACCTGCATCTGTCGCAGGCATCCTCAGAGGTTGTGAGGTCTGTTGGAAACTATGCCTGCCACAGATGCAGGTGAAACGTCAGGAGAGAATGCTTTTAGAACATGGCCATACAGCTTGAAAAACCTACAACAAGCCAGTGATTCTGGCCATGAAAGCCTTCGACAATACATTGGCACCATCATTGTTAGGCTGTTCTTCATTTCCTTGCCCCCAAAACACCTAATACCAGTCTTTTAGACTTGTATTCAGACCTATACTTTTGGGGACAACAAATGTCATTCAAGGAAACATGAACCACAGTTATTCATTTCACTATCAACATGAAAATCCATCTTCCACTTTTCCCAAGAAGCATGACTAACTAGGAGGGGGCACAGATGGCATAATACTGTAATCGTTTCTAAATATCCACTGGGAAATAAGTAAATCTAAGCATTAGCAGAACAGTCATAAAAACAATGCAAAATAATCGGCCTCGCCTTCCCTCTCCCCTGCCTCCAGCAATTTTTAAGAAATTAAAAGTATATTCCCAAGCTTTGAAATGAGGCTCATTGTGAAGCTGGTAAAACAGTGACTGGGTTATATCATTTCAGAGAACAGATTGAGGTTTATGTTACTGGATGCATCTCCATATAAAAATAGCAAGTCCCTCCAGGTAGAAAACTAGAAGGAGAGGTCTAGTCTAATCTTCCCTATGATATGTTTGTTTTCTTTGGGCAGGGATTAAAAAAAATGATACGGAGGAAAATGCAAGCCCTCACCTGGAGCCATACACCTGAGAGACAGCTTTCAAGAGAATGAGGCCGAAGTCATGGAGGGAGGGGGCGAAATCTTAATCTTTTCTTATCATTCTCCTGCTTTGCCTCTCTTCTTCTCAGTGAATCATACGTGAGCTTCCCATCCATCTGTTCTCACACCCTCATCTTTGCGGCCTCTTCACCACCAGCCACACACCCAAAACTATCTTTTTGTCTTGGGGCATCTGCACATGTTTTTGCAGCATTAACTGAGGGGAAAATCAGTTTTACCTCGGGACTGTTTCCACCTGTTTTGATGTTGAGCTACAAATAGGCTGCCGTTTCCCTGAAGGAAGCTTCTTTTCCACTAATGAATTGACTCTAACCACCGTTTAATTTTTATTTATTTAAATTTATAATATCTACCTTCTTATGAAAAGAGGGGAAGTTGTCTTCTATTTTACTAACCACCTGCAAGGCATCTGTATTTTTGCAACGATTATTTGGATGCTGGAGGGACCAAGTACTTCATCACACTAGAGAATGAATCCACTTTAAATCTGGTTTCTGCCTCTTGAAGTTTAGTGAGGCTGTTAAAGGCTCCTCCCTAAACTACAAACCCCAGAATTCTGCAGGAGGCAGAAACCAGATTTAAAGTGGATTCTTACTCTAGTGTGATGAGGTACCAGGTATACAATTCTGAACTCCTTGGAGGATAAGAAAAAAAGACAAAAAACAATTACCATCATTTTTTTATTTATATGGAACAGATAAATTAATTTTCAAAATTGTTTAACAATGTATTATTAACATAATAGTAACTGAAAAATTAAAAACAGAGATATTTTAACATTATCAAAGGTTCTTCACAGGTAGTTGTTAGTCATCTATAACAGTGTTGCCAAACCTTTGGTCCTACAGATGTTTTGGGCTTCTACTCCCACAATTCCTAACAGCTGGTAAGCTGGCTGAGAATTCTGGGAGTTGAAGTCCAGAACACCTGAAGGACAAAAATTTGGGAAACACTAATCTAGCGGAATGGCTGGATATATTCTAGCAATTAGGGAAGCAATGCCTCCTGTCACCAGGTTTTTGCCATTCCATCAAATCTTGGTGGTGTAATGGCCAACAGAATCCGCAGATGAAGTTTTTGTGAGCACATTTTAAAAACAAAGCAAATTCCATATACCCTTTTTTCAAAGCAAAACTGGTGAGGTTGTTAGCACTTTAAAACAGCGAATGCAGCAATGTAAGAAGCTGCAGGAGTTTAGAAACAAGCAGAGATACATGCAGTCCGTGGGTCATGTGTTATCCACTCTACAATTCTTTTTTTCTGAATAGTCTTCAAATCAGATGAATGTGTAACACATTGCAGTAATCTAATCTGGATGTTACCAGTTCAAGGGCAACTGTGGTCAGACTATCTTGATCCATTGGTGAATGGAACTTCGTGGCCATAGTGATCTCTGGATGTTACTAAGATATCTATAGTGGGGATGGGGTCTAAGAGCAGTCCCAAAATGCATATCTATGTCTCTGGGGAAGTGCAAGGACAGAGTGAGTATCAATGAGTACATGAATCATTCCGCAGCAGTATTTCCATCAGGCTCATGTTAGATTTTTCTGTGTTTCAACTGACCTTGATGAAAATTTGTGTGTTGATTTTGGTTCCATATAGATATCAGACACTGTATATAATGAGGAAGATCCTTAAAGAACAAATAGTGGGGGTAGCTTTGAGGTGGAGCTGAAATATTTCTACTGAGGGCCCTTCCACGCAACTCTATATCTCAGAATATCAAGGCAGAAAATCTCACAATATCTGCTTTGAACTGGGTTATCTGTGTCCGCGCTCAGATAATGTGGGATCTTCTGCCTTGATATTCTGGAATATAGGGCTGTGTGGAAGGGCCCTTGGAGAGAAATGTGTTACTACTCAATTCATTACAACTCAATCCATGGCGTTCAAATGCACTCTGACAATGAACATCTCACATTGTTTCCAGTGATTCCTACATATGAAGCTGTCTCATATGTAATAATCTCAACATTCAAAGTTTTCATTCCAGATAAAATGCAATGTCTTCCTTCCCATCTTTTGCTGTACTCTTCTATTGGTTCTGGTGAAGAAAATGGGATCAACATTCAAAGTTTCTTTCTGTTGGGTCTAGTGGGTGGTATGTATTACTGAATTGCCTGTCTTGACTAGTGAGTTCTTTTTATGGTTTCAGTCTTCCACCATTCTGGTACTGATTCCTTTAAAACTGTATATATATGTTAAAAGTAGTTGGTTACCATTGGTGATGCAGTCAGGCTTCAATTTTTTTAAACCACCCAAGCTACCCTACCCAGTGAGGAAATCTTTAATTTTGAGGTGTTAAAATTTTAATAGAGTTAAACCGGCAGCTGTTGCAGAAAATAAAAGACATATCCTCAAACAGGTTTTTAACTCTTAAATGTGCTGTTCATGGAATAAATAGTGCATGTTTTTTTCTCCCAGATTGTGCCTCCTTGTTCAGGACGTCTATGGAATGTTCAGCGAAATACAGTTTCAGATCCCATTTTCTTCACCAGAACCAATAGAAGAGTACAGCAAAAGATGGGAAGGAAGACATTGCATTTTATCTGGAATGAAAATTTTGCAAAGAGTCGTCAGAGGAAAGTAAGAAAAAGACTATAATATCATCTGCAGGGGTAGCTGTTATAAATTGAATCTACAACAACATAGGGGATTGTGGCATCTGAGAGCGAGGTTGGGAAACTTTAGCCCTCAAAAAATGTGGTTACATCTTCTTTTCTACCATTGCCAGCCAAGATCGCTAAGAGATAAGGATGAAGGAAGCTGGAGTCTAACAACATTGCAAGAGTTAAAAATTGCCCATTATTATTGTATAGAAAAATGCATTTATTTTGGCAGAATAAATGTTTTGATGTGATATACAACTATGTCTCATTCCTCACACAGCAGCTTTAGATGTTCTGGAGTGACAGCTGAATGGAACAGACATCATTAGCAGGTCTTTCCTGAATATTTGGTTGCCCAGTAATAGTAGGATGCAGTGATGGAAAATAGGTTATGCTTATGGGGATAGAGTATGGCCATCACTACATATAAGCCATTGTCACAGATGAAAGTGTAGGAGAGTTGGCTAGCTGGTTAGGAAGAAAGTACTTGGCAAAGGCATGGGTTGTTATGGGCCAATCAGGTACAATAGCTGGGAGGCAGCAGGGATTCGAGCAAAGGGTGAGGAAACTGCTCCCAGTTTGTTGGAGTAAGGCTAGATTAGACCTAGCACTCACATACATTGGGTATAGTGTGACCTTAATCCAGACTCTGCATATACACTTGGTAAACTAGGACCCTTCTTTACAGACCTACAGTTTCTGTCTGGTCCTCATCCCATTCATCATCAGCTGGGGATTGATCCTGATACTTGCATAGCAGGAAACAAGGACCAATCCTTTCCTGTTTATCATCAATTGAAGCTGATTTGCTGGCTGCTGAGATTGGCTCCTGATCCTACTTACTATGGTCGGATTTGGATCTGACACAGTGGTGGCCAGATCATGATTCTATTCACCAATGGCAGAGGCTGGATCCTGTGCTTACTTACTCTCTCTAGACTTTGCCACAGATCTCAGCTATAATCCTACTGGGAAAGGGCATCTCTGCCTAGTACTTCAGGCTTGATTTACAACTCTTTGGCAACAGTATTGGCCAGCAAGGCTCTCTAAAACAAGAATGAGGCATATGTGCCCTTCTAGGGCTCATTCGATTGCAACTCCCATCATCTTTCATATTTTGTTCTGCTGACTAGGGATGATGAGGTTTGTAATTGTAATATCTAACAGGCTGTTATTCCCTATCCACGCTTCAGACCAGTGCTTCCCAACCTTTTTTTTGACCAGGGACCACTTTGACCAGTGACCAGTCTCCAACATTAGTACCCAAAAGGGTTATGAATCAGTTTTGGTCAACTTTTGATTTGGTTCGCTATCTGCTCGCCCACAGAAAACCATATTTAATAAGCCTCGGCACTATAAGAGGGTTTTATGAGACCAGTCTCTCTTGTTGCAACAGTATGGTAATAGTGAGGCCACGTACCATATTTTAGTTCTTGCGGACCACAGGTGGTCCACGGACCACAGTTTGGGAACCACTGCTTTAGACCAATGCCTCACAAGCTATCTAGAGTAGAAGACCCTCAGTTATTTTTCCTCAAAGGAGGCACCAATCCTTTATTCTGTGTCCATCAGCTACAATTGTTTTGCTCTTTCCTGGATGCCTTCCAGGGACCAACAGCCAATGACTAAGAGACTGACACCCGAGTTAGAGATTACATTGAATAGCAGTACTCTAGACCTTGTTAATCATATTTGAGATGACAGTTTAAAACTTTACTGTGATATAACAAAGAGAACAGAAGCACAACTTGGAACTATCTTTTTCAAAAAGTTATGCTCAAGTGTACGTACTTGTTATACAAATGTTTAGACTACTCATACATGTTTATAAAGGAGGGAGATGTGCCAATATAATGCTCCAATTTTCCTCAGTTTAAGTAAGATTTAATACTTAGATATACATGATACTTCCTTAGAATCCTTTAAGGCCTTCTCACTATTTATAGATTGCTCTAAAAACATGCAGTACATTCTAAAAGTGGGTCACTATTATTGTTTTGTTTCAGTTCCTTTTTAAAGATGGTTGTTTTTGTTGTTCTCCGTATATTTTCTGGAGGTATTGTTTTTTAGAGCTGGTGACGAGAACTGCATGCGATCATTACTAAATGAATATTGTTATTTACTGGCATCTTTCATTCTGTTTCTCTTACTCATATATGACTACCAGGCTCTCCTAAGATCTCCTACTTTAACCCGAATACTTCCCAGCAGATTAACAGAGCATGACTAATGAGAGATTGTGATGGATTTAGGAAAAGAGGACAATATGCTGATCTATATTACATGGAATTTGCTAGATTCATTTTCTCTCATCTGAACGAGTATGTCATTCTGTCTAGGAAATCATGCACACAAAATATTACTCAGTAATTTCCAACATTTTAAGTAAAATATTTCCTAGAATAGAGGTTACATCTAGACAATTAGATATAGCACATAGGTTGCAGAAAATAAAAATTATATCCCCCTAAACGAGTAATACCAGTCTTATTTTGATTTGTTGATTTTATCCCAAATTGTTCGTTTTATTTACATTGCTAAAGAGTTGGAAATGCATATAGCTACAGTATTTGTATCTTAAGAAAATTAGGATTTTCGGATAGGCTGTAATCTGGCCCATTGAATGAGTGCCCATTCTCTTGATCATATCCAAAGTTGGGGAAATCATTCCAGCTTTTAAAATGAGCATGCTGAAAGAAGAACTCTCACAGTCGTAATATCAATTTCTGCATCCATTTTAGACTATGATCTAAGCTTAATAGATCCCTATAAATTCTAATTAATTCTTTAAGTTAATCAGGCGCTCATCACTGCTGGCACATGTTGTGTTTCCATAACATTATTCTATTTTAGCTGGTATTCCATATCTCCTTTACAACATGGGTTATTTAATGGTTCAGGAGTGGCAATTGTGGAGGCTCTTCCTTTCTTATACTTTCCCATCCTTCCTGGGCTATAGCCCTGCCCTATTATATTTTCTTTGTACACATAAGTTTTCATTAAGTACAACATCATCATATCACTTCATGGTGACATTTTCCTATGTTTGACCATTCATCTTCTATTCCTTCCAGCGTGCCTCTACACTATAGCATTAATGCAGTTTGACATCACTTCATTTGCCTTGGCTCGATGTGGTGAGATTTGTAGTGTGGTGAGGCACCAGTACACTTTGACAGAGAAGGCTGAAGACCTTGTAAAACTATAGATCTCAGGTTTCTACAGCATTGAGCCATGGCTGTTTAAGTGGTGCCAAGCTGCACTAATTCTACAGTATAGATCAGTGGTTCTCAACTTGTGGGTTCCCAGATGTTTTGGCCTTAAACTTCCAGATATCCTAACAACTGGTAAACTGGCTGGGATTTCTGGGAGTTGTAGGCGAAAACACCCGGGGACCCACAGGTTGAGAACCACTCACTGGTCTAGATGCACCCCTAGAGCAGGGGCAATTCCTCTTGGATTAGTGCATCCAACTAACTATGGCAAATGCAAAGCATACCCACTCCGATATAGCATTTCTCCATCATTGATAGTTTTATCTTCCCTCCTTCACAGATGCAAATAAAATTTCTCCTTTCTTCTCCCTGAATTTATGGTATGTTGCTAAGAACTGCTGTTTCATCTTTGTACCTACTGATAAAGGTCCCTACAAACACTCTAAGGCTCTCTTGTCTAAGCTTTTTGAAGCATTTTTGCTTGCCTTTCTTTCTGCTTTTTCTCTCCACTTTAGTTTCTTTGAATTTCCCCTGTGTGTGATATGTTTGCTATGGTTTTATTTTACTTTATTTTATTTATATTCCGCTTTTTGTCTAATGTGGAATTTGAGATGGCCGGTGACATGAATCTGATTAGTAATGACATCTACTTTTTACAAGCTGTATTTTGTTTCAATTACCACTGATCAGACCCAGAAGATCTCACTTTAGTTGAAATTATACACACATATATATATATATAACTTTATTCTTGTATCCCGCCTTCATCTCCCCGAAGGGACTTGTGGTGGTTTACACTCGGTACAAGGTGCCAAAAAAACAGAACATAAAATAAAAGCAATATAAAATACAATGTAATAAAACAAATAGCATAAAAACAACTTAAGACTCAAATTAAAACAATGCTCATCAACCAATGGCAGTAAGCTACTGCAAATGTGGCCAGGCTGTAAACAATAGGACAAGGGAATAGGATAAGTGCATTGGAAAGTAACCATGGAAAGAGGCCATGGGATAACGTGTGAGACTGCATGACTGTTGCATAGAACATCTAGGGACTGAGCGTTTTCACAAGCTTGTTTAAACAGCCAGGTTTTAAGGTCCCTATGGAAGGAGGAGAGTGTGGGGGGCTGCCTAATCTCCCTGGGGAGGGCATTCCAAAGCCGGGGGGCCACCACCAAGAAGGCCCTCACCCTTGTCCCCACCAACCACATTCGTGACGGTAGCGGGACAGAGAGTAGGGCCTCCTCGGTAGATCTTAGAGCCAGTGCTGGTTTATAGGGGGGGGGGAGATGTGGTCATGAAGATAGGCAGGACCCGAACTGTTTAGGGTTTTATAGGTAATAGCCTGCGCCTCCAGTGGCACAGCGGGTTAAATTGCTGAGCTGCTGAACTTGCTGACTGAAAGGTTGGTGGTTCAAATCTGGGGAGCAATGTGAGCTCCAGCAGTTGGCTCCAGCTTCTGCCAACCCAGCAGTTCAAAAACATGCAAATATGAGTAGATCAATAGGTACTGCTCCGACGGGAAGGTAACGGTGCTCCATGTAATCATGCCAGCCACATGACCTTTGTGGCATCTACGAACAACACCAGCTCTTCGGCTTAGAAATGGAGATGAGCACCACCACCCAGAGTCAGACACGACTATACTTAATGTCAAGGGGAAACCTTTGCCTTTACCTTAACCTGCTTCTACATGTTGAAAAAAATGTAAAGAAAAAAACCTTACATATTGCATATTCATGTCATACCACGGTACAGCAAATGTTCTCTCTTTTACCAAGTGTGCATCTACACTATACAATTAATGCAGTTTGATGCTGCTTCACTGCTATGGCTCAATGCTATGGACTTGTAGTAGTTGGGTGAGACACAAGCATTTGACAGAAAAGGCTAAAAATCTTGCAAAATTATAATTCCTGTGATTCAATAGCATTGTGTCTGGGCAGTTAAAGTGGTTTCAGAATTCATTACTTCTGGACTGTAAGTACACCCCATGTCTTTCTGCAACCAGGATAAATTCAATCAATCAACTTTGTTGATAAGCTTGTGCCATTTTTATTTCATTAATCACTAGATTTTATAAATGGAGACAGTGACATTTTTAACCATAGTTAAAATACTTAAGGAATAATACTTGAGAATATTAAGACCACATAGTACTATGAAATATTCAGATTGTCTTGCCAGTATTTAAGAATCTTCCCTTGCCCTTAGCAAACATGTCTACTCAGAAGGGAATTCTGAGGAGCAAACCCAATATTAGGTCTACCCAACAGAAATCAATGCAAACGAAGTTAGTTGTAATTAACATCTCCTATTTCAACTGATATATTCTAGTTAGCATTAACATTGGAGTTCGGCCACTGTGTTCAATTGGACTTTCTCAGCTGGTGAGCATGACCTTTGGCTACAATCCTATACCCGTCTAACTGTTAGTAAACCTGACTTTGAATAGGCATGTTGCTTGTCATGAAGTTGCTGTCATGATTATTTCTTGTTGTTTTTTCTTTTCTTTCGATATAGTAGTCTTAATTCTGTAATTAAATTGCACCATATTTGTCTTTTGTTTGTTTCCCAAGAGTCCTGGGGCTTTTTAGCCTAATAGAAAGTTTGTGGCCTCCCCAGTTGCCTCTCAAAGTTCCCGGCCGCAGTCAAGAGAATAACGTGGTAAGCTACAGTCTCAACTCCTCTCTTTCCCAAATAAGTACTTATTGTCACAAGGCAAAGAAGACTGTTGGGCACCCTGTCACTCTCTCTAATTAAATCCTGAAAGCTCTGTTTTGTGCTTTCCTTCCACTCAACAAACCCTCACTATATTTATGGTGATTTTTCTGCCATTGGGTGCTACCAGATGGGGGTTTTTTATCATGCAATTGGCTGTTTCGTTCATGGAATTTTACAGAAGTCTACAAAGCATCTTCCATTTTTATAGCCCTCTTGTGTTTTTCCACTGCTGTTTGAAAAATAAAGAAGGAAAAAATAGAGTGGGATAGCTGAATTAAATCTCTTTTATTGATGAGTTATTGATCACTAGCACAACATTGTGTTTAAGAAATGTAATGATCTCCTTCTTGGGGAGAAACAGATGAATCCCAAGAGGGAAAGTGCTTGAGATTTCCTAAGTGAATTCAGAAATAAAATCAAATATTCCTGTAGGTTGGATACATCTACACTTTAGAATTAATGCAGTTTAATACCACTTTAACTGCCATGGCTCAATGCTGTGGAATTGTGTGATTTGTAGTTGAAAAATCAGTTGGTGAGTGTGTATTAACTGAAAATGCAAACTTAGGGACTAGGCGCCAATCAAGCTAGCTGAGCCTGGGAGTTTTGGCAACAGTTACATATTCAGGCTTTAGCTAGGCAGGAGCTTGCAGAGACAGTTATTTACTCCTGGGCTGCAGGAAGAAGGTCTTTTACATGGACATCTAAGGACCATTTGAATTCTCTCACAAAGGACATTGTGTGAGTCAATACAACTGTTCACATGATTGTATATATGTTGCTCTGCATTACAAAGAATAAACTCCATGATCATCTGTGTGGCATATCTTTTCTCTGGCAAGACAGTGTGTGGGCTGCTAAAACATAAACTACATGATTTTCATTCCATTAAAGTAGTTAGGTGAGGCATCAGCACTCTTTGGCAGAGAAGGTAAAGACCATGTTGCAAAGGGGTTGCCCCAATTCAAAGAAAAGGGTTTCAGGAGAGAGAAGTTACAATTTATTATTTATTATTCTTAATGGTGCCACCAATTTGTGATGTGAGGTAATTTTGGGAGATTGGGCACACTGAACGCCGAATTAATGGAGATGAGGCAGTCTTAAAATCAAAGAGAACAAGTTTATTTTGAAACAAAGCGTATGGTTGCAGTTTGGTGATAAACTTGGAAGATACTTGGAGAACGTTACATATAACTTGGTTGCGATACAGTACAGACTTCTGATGTTACAACTTATCAATAACTTTTGCTGTGGTGAAGCACTTTATTAAACAATGGTTCCTGAGGTGAATAGTCTTCCTGTTTGATCCTTCCGTGATCAAACCTCAGATCTCTAGTTCACTTTTAACTAGTGATCTAAACAAGCTTCTATTAGTCTTCTCTAACTAATGAAACTAATAAGGTTTCCCTTCAGCCTTCCTAAACTGAAGAAACCTCTGACTATTCACAAACACTGCTTCTCTACTTCCCACTCTCTCTCTCAACACTTCATTTCCCTGAGCCTAAAACCTGACTCTTCTTTCCTCTGAGCCTAAACCCCCAACTGACTTTAACTGTCGCTTTTTAAAACTCTCCTCTCTAAGCTCCTCCCACTTCTCTACAGCATCGTTTCCATGGTAACACACTCCTCACAGCTAGGCCGCTCCAGCATTAGGGCAACCAGTGCAAACACAAATACAGTTATAATCATATCATTTACAATCAACTTCTGTACAATGTAAAACTACAACTCCCTTTATCCCATAATGCCGATTGATGGCAATTAAAGTGGTATCAAGGTGTGTTAATTATACAGTGTAGATTCATCCTTAGCTACCACTAGGATAAGAGATTCATGAAGTCTTCTCCAAATCTGCTCCAGTTCATATCTTCAAATAGAAATAATGTTGGATACATTTTCCTGTTGTTAAAATGCTTTCTTGGATTCATGGTGACTTAGCACCTAGAATTTAACTATATTGAATATCAATAAGTGTCAATATATTATGTTACTCTCTGTCTCTCTCTCTCATAAGATTTTACACATACATATACACACATAAATATAGTTATGAGAATAATGACACCATGATTATGGTGTTATGTTGAACTGTATTTAATTATAACCCATATTTAAGAACAGGTTCTTCCAACATAGCTTCCAAATAAAAGAAGTCAACAGCAATAAAACTGCAATAAAACATATAACAGTTAAAAACATCAAAAAAATAAAATCTAAAAATCCAAAATCATAGTTCTAAAACTATACCTACAAATTGATCAAGATTACCTACAAATTGAACAAGATTAATTGAACAGTGTGTGGTTGTGGAACACTAAATGAACACAATAAATAGCTTTTGGAACTATAAAAACTACCATATGATTTTATATAGACGGTCAATAACACATGAAACTGTAGGTAAGTCTTGTTGCTTGTTATATAATACTTTGGGATTTATGAGCGCAAGGAAGAGCAATGCTATACAAGCCATGGCATGTTTCGGGGGGAGGCAAAAAAGCCAATAAAGTAGATTATGACCATATTGGCTTCTATTATTCAACAGTGTCAGTAAGATAAGTACTGGGTCCAAAAAGAAGGAGAATTGCTTGCCTTGACTGAGATGAGAGAAGTAGATGCACATTTTATTGCAAACCCTCAGCCAGGAGGTTTTTTAACCTCTTCTGCATAGTTGTACCCTATTTAAGGAGTTTTGAATCCAGGAGAACGTGGATGAGCTCCCTCTGTCAGCTCCAGCTCCCCATGCAGGGACATGAGAGAAGCCTCCCACAAGGATGACAAAACATCAAAAACATCCAGGCGTCCCCTGGGCAACGTTCTTGCAGACGGCCAAATTCTCTCACACCAGAAGCAACTTGCACTTTCTCAAGACCCTCCTGACACACACACACACACACACACACACAAATTAAGTGAATAAGAAAAAAATCGCATTTGTGAAATTGTAGGTAACAAATACAGGCTGTAGTAATAAAAGGATTGTAATTTGTCATGTTTTGACAATGGATGGGCTTTTGATGTAGAAATTCTGATATCTTCCAATAATCGAAGTTTGAAAAGGAGAAATAGAGAACCAGTGTGATGCATGATGGGAGTTGTGGTCCAGCAGATCTAAATGATCAACAGTTATTTGACCTTATTCAAAAATCGCTTACATGAGACTGAAGCAAGATTTTAAATCATAGTCTTCGACCTCATGCCTTACATTCCTTTTCACTTATTAAGATATGTATAAATTAAGACGGTTCTACATGCCATTTATGTGTTATACTTTTTAAATTGTTGCCAGTCCTTGCCTGTGCTTTTTATTAACAAACTAGCTTGGCTACTCAGATTATTTGAAAAAGTCATTTTTTTTTATTTTACAAAATGCATAAGGTTGTGGGTGAACTCGCATCATGCCAGGTTCACCCCCCGAAACTCCATCAGTAGTTAAAGTTTGTCATATTGGGTAAGTTTGCTCTAGATGCATCATTGGTGGGGTTCAGTGTGATTTCTGGCTGCAGGATAAACTGCAGCTCCCATCATGGTGGGTCAGTCCCCTCAAATCTTTCCAGTAGGTTCAGTTGGTCATAGGGTTCTGTTTGCCAGGTTTGGTCCAGATCCTTCAATGGTGGTGGTCACAGAGTTTCTGGATGTAAGTGAACTACAACTTCCAGAAATAAAGGTCAGTTCCTCCCAAACCCCTCCAGTATTTTCAGAGGTCATGGTGGAGCCCCCGGTAGGTTAAACCCCTGTGCTGGCAGGACTGAAGATTGACAAGTCACATGTTTGAATCCAGGGAGAGCGGGTTAAGTTCCTTCTGTCAGCTCCAGCTCCCCATGCGGGGACATGAAAGAAGCCTCCCACAAGGATGGTAAAATATCAAAAACATCCAGACATCCCCTTGGCAATGTCCTTGCAGACGGCCAATTCTCTCACACCAGAAGTGACTTGCAGTTTCTCAAGTCACTCCTGACAAGACAAAAAAAAAAGATGGCCATGGTGGTTCTGTGTGCCAAGTTAGGTCCAGGGCCATCGTTGATGGAGTCCAGAGTGCCCTTTGATTGCAAGTGAACTATAGATCCCAGCACCTACAATGGCTGTAAATCAAGGTGAATTGCCCCCAAACCTCTCCAGTACTTTTCTTAGGTCATGGGAGTTCTGTGTGCCAAATGTGGTCCAGATCCATTGTCAGTGGGAGTCACAGTGCTCTGACTTCATGCAGAGTTAACTATAACTTCCATCATGTGGAGTCAATCCTCCAAACTCTTCCAGTATGTTTAGTTGCTGATTAGTTCTGCTCTGTTTGTTGTGCAAACAGAGTTGAAAAGAGTAGGATGGGGTTAAGGGAGAGGCAGTGCAAATTCCACACCAATGGAGAGAGTCAGAAACACTGGGATGTCTGTGGTGGAGGAAACATGTAAAATCTAGGATGAAATTGTCCCAAATGAAAGTATTCTTTGGTTGGTGGGCAGTATGGTGTTGGGGAAGACGTTGGCAGGGGTTGGGTTACATGTTAACGGCGCTCACTATAACCTGAAATGTCCTTGAAAGGAGGACTTTTGGTGGCTCCTCAGCACTGTGGGTTAAAGCTGTTTGTGAAAGTGGAAGTGTGCACCCTAGCCACATACACACATACATATTTTTACTTTTATTATGCATCTAGACCAGATGTCTTATGTGTATTTCAGAATTTAATTTTTTATTATTTTTATTAGTTGTGGTTTGTTGATTATGTTTATTTTCTATAGTTATGCAATATTTTTGTCTGTGTGCTGTTCACTGCTTTGAGTCCTGTTTCAGGAGAAAAGGAGGATAGAAATAAATAAATAATAAAAAGTCTGAGTGATACAAACCTAATTTAAATAATTGGAAACCAGTTCAGTTTATTAGAAATACTGCAACAAACTCCATTTTTGGGTTGTCATGATATGTGCAGACTGGATTTACAAAAAGAAAAAAAGGTGCAGAACAGCTGTTTTCTTTATTCATAATTTATTTATGATTCTCCTTGAAGACTTCCTTTTTTATGGTGTTCAAACAGTAATTCCCAAGATGGATAGTCTATCACGTCTAATACCACTAAAAGTTGATTAATTCCAATAGTTTTATAGCCTTTTGAGATAATGGGATGTTTGCATTGAATGGAAAGATTTGCTCTCATAACAAGGAGGAAGAGAGAGAAAGAGAGTCACGTTGCTTCATGTTCCAGTAGTTATGTTTTCTATTGTCCTTTTGCTGCTCAAAATGTAATTTGGCTACATTTGTGTTCCTCAGTGACACGGCGTCATCTGTTTATTGTCAAATTCGCCCAAGTGCTAAAATTCCCAAATGCCACAGAAATCATTTGAAGGCGCAGAAATAATAAAATCCATCTCAAACATAATAAGACAAAGGCAGATTTTGTAATTTGACGAATTGTTGTGTTTTCTTATATAATGCATTCATGGATATAAACATATCGGAAAGTATAACTGAAGGTCAGCCCTCTAACCTTTTGGGGAGCTGCCGGTGCCAACTTTGCCTTAAAAAGATCCCTTAAAATCTCTGTTTTCCATTTGTTTTGATGAAGGTCTTCCTAATCTATTTCTCCAAGTAAATAAGTTTAATACGGAGCATTCATTTTTATGACCACAGCAATTTTGTTTATTTTAAGCAGATTACAGCTGATATGCCTCCTCCAAGTTTCTGTTACATTCTTGTTGCTCCTTCCGGCCAAAGACACATTGAGGTCGATGAAGGAGAACAGATTTCAAATTGGTATTTCCCTCCGACTGTGCAAAGTCTCAAAGAGATCCTACAGGTATTTTATTTTTGTTTTGTTTTTTGCAAGTTTTACAACTGACACGTTTATTAGTATATTTGAACTTAAATATTTGGCCTATTTTTAATTGTATTTCAGATGAGCAAATTACACCAGTGTTGCAGCTTTTGGGCACATGTTGTGTATCGAAGACTGCAGGTAATTCTTTTTTTGTTGGCTTTGTAAGCCTTTCTTTACAAATGATGTAACAAGTACAGTTAGGTCAAAGAGATACATAGGAGATGGAAGCTTTTCTTTTCCTTCGCCCTTTTTGCATCTCATTTTCTAAACTTGACAAACTGGAGGATTTTGCCTCTTTCAGTTTGTCTTCGAAATACAAATATCTTCAAAGAAATTGTTCTTTTATTCTGTAGTACCAATTTGAGTACACGTGCATCCAGACTAATTGAAAACTCCCTGATTTTCTTCTTGTTCCTTCCGATCTTGTTGGCCACGGTGGTCCACGCTCTCGTAATATCCAGGATAGACTACTGCAATGCGCTCTATGAAGGGTTGCCTTGTTTAGGAAAAATGAGCACTGTGTTCCTTACCTTAGACATGCTTTGAGACTTCTCCTTCTCATTTGATCGTTGACTCATTTTAATAGATTATGTTAGATATTGGTATCTGTAATATATTCATTAGTTCTGCTTTCAGTAGTCCTGTTTTAAATTAATGGAGCAAGTTAGTAAAAAGTAATAGTCTGCTGCAAGGTTGGGAAATGTTGTTCTATGCTTTCAAGTTGTTTCTGACTTAGCAGTCACAGTGTTTTGCTGGCAAGATTTGTTCAGACTGCATTTGACTTTGCCTTTCTCTGAGGCTTAGAGAGTGTGACTTGCCCAGTGTTGCCCAGTGGGTTTCCATGGCTGAGTGGGAATTGGAGCCTTGGTCTCAAGGATCATAGCCCAACAGTCTAACCAATGTACTATACATGAGTTTCATATCGCTTTCCAAATGTTGGGCTACACCAGTGGTTCTGGTGGGTCCCCAGATGGGTCCCCAGATGTTTTGGCCAGACTGCAACTCCCATCAATCCTCCAGATAGATTAGATTAGATTAGATTAGATTAGATTAGATTAGATAGATAGATAGATAGATAGATAGATAGATAGATAGATAGATAGATAAATTAGATAGAGATAAGTAGGTAGATTGATCAGGAAGACTGCTAGGAGTTGCAGTCCGGGAATAGGAAACTGGAAATATGCAGGGATTGGGATGCTCTCAAAGAAATCCAAGGAGAAGAAAGGAGAAGAAAGAAATCCAAGGATAAGAAAGACTGCAACTCCCAGCAATCGTCCAGATAGATAAGATAGATAGATTAGATAGAGATAGGTAGGTAGGTAGATTGATCAGGAGGCTGCTGGGAGTTGCAGTGCAAAAATAGGTAGAGAAGGGAGAAAGGGGAGAAAGAGGAAGGGAAAGAAAAGGGGGGAGGGAAGAGGAAGAGAAGGAAGGAGAGAATGAAAGATAAAAAGGGAAGGAAGGAGAGGAGAGAAAGAGGGAGGAAAGGTTGGCCATAGCAACGCGTGGCGGGGACAGCTAGTCGTAAATAATTCAAGTTACAGCCAAATGGCAGACTATAGAGAAATTTTTCCTTTTGGTATCAACAAGGGCAGTTGCTATTGCTTTCACTACCCTGACACACACTCAAATAACAAAATGGTTTATATTTGGCAAGCACTGTTATGTAATTACAGGAGAGATTATTGGAGTTCTTAAACCGCTATAAAACCTGAGCTACATTTGACTTTCCCCTCCCTCTGTCCCCCAAGAAGAAGATTTCTAATAGTTGTCTTCATTATTTTCCTGTTTTCCTTTCCAGCAGGCTGATGTTTCACCTTCTTTTAAAATGCTACATTACATTGTGGGCAATTACCCAGCCATCTTAGTTTGAAAAACAGCACAGGGGGCCCCTCCAAGGACTTTTTATTCTTCAGCTCCAAGAAAATGTATTGTATGGAATACTGGAGGCTTAAATGGCAAGCAGCCCATTAAAATGAAATCTAAAATGTTCTCTTACAATCAAGTCCAGTTAAACATGTAAACAAAACCTGATCCCAGTATTTTGGATGGATCTTTGAGAGGTTACAATAAGGACACCAAAATAGCCATCGGGAGATTTCCAGGTGCCCATGTCCCTTGCTTCCATTGGAGTCAAGGCTGCCTGCAATGAAGCTGAGACTCAAAAGCAGGGAAATCACACAAAGCAAAAGGGGATTTGGACACATGGAAGCCAATAACTCGGCTCCCCAGAAGTGGGGATCATGAAGTTTGGGGCAAAGGGAACTATAAGATATTTTTCCCAATCCTTTTACTGTTGAGGGAGGATTATATGGGGCACTTTAAATACTGTGGGCTAAAGTGAATGAAGATGTGTTTAATTCTGCCAACAAACATTTAATTAGATACCTAGGGGTTAATTAAAGGAGTTGCCAAGGGGGAAAAGAAAGGAAATGAGATGAGGAAGCCATGTACAAGCTGACCAGTGGGAATGCAGGTGAGTGGTAATATTGTCAGGAAAACCAGAAAGGCTGTTGGTTTATCTGGATATGCATGTATTTCCATGCTTGCTGCCACAGTCATATAATCTAAAATGATCTGATGCAGTGAACATGCTAGAAATGGCAGTTCATACTAAGGTGCCTTTGGTGGGGGAATAAGTAGCTTTCAAGGCCAATTTGAGTTCAGATTAAAACAGATGAGTATTACATTAATTGGGGCAAACTGGGGCAGGATACTGCACACTGAAGCTGGGATATAGACATTGTGTGGATTCAGCCCTTTTCTTTTCTACTTAGAATAATAGAAACATAGTATTATTGAGTTAGAAGAGACGTTGTGGACCATCCAGTCCAACCCCCTGCCAAGAAGCAGGAAAATTGCATTCAAGGAACCCCCGACAGATGGCCATCCAGCCTTTGTTTAAAAGCTTCCAAAGAAGGAGTCTCACCACACTCCCAGGGCAGAGAGTTCCACTGCTGAACAGTTCTCACAGTCAGGAAGTTCCTCATGTTCAGGTGGAATCTTCTTCCCTGTAGTTTGAAGCCATTGTTCCACATCCTAGTCTTCAGGGCAGCAGAAAACAAGCTTGCTCCCTCCTCCCTATGACTTCTCCTCACATATTTATACATGGCCATCATGTCTCCTCTCAGCTTTCTCTTCTGCAGGCTAATCATGCCCAGCTCTTTAAGCCACTCCTCATAGGGCTTGTTCTCCAGACTTTTGATCATTTTAGTCGCCCTCCTCTGAACACATTTCAACTTCAGTTGCGGTGCCCAGAATTGGACACAGTATTCCAGGCGTGATCTGACCAAAGCATAATAGAGGGGCATCATGACTTCCCTGGATCTAGACACTACACTCCTATTTATGCTGGCCAAAATCCCATTGCCTTTTTTTTTGCCACCACATGACATTGTTGGCTCATGTTTAACTTGTTGTCCACAAGGACTCCCAAGATCTTTTTCACACGTACTGCTGTTAAGCAGTACTGTTGTCTGTTGTTCAAGGCCTCCTCTAAAGAGTGGATTAATCCTTTTCTGAAATAATGTTTTCCTTCTATGGTACATGTATTTGATAGTTACTAAAATAGCTCTCATTGCTTTTGTAGAGTCATTGATAGCTGTCTGAATGCATCCCTTTTGATATAAGCAAGATAAGTCATAATTCACTTTGCTTCAGACTTTTTTGTGCTATAACATACTTTTTTGTGTCCCCTGTTTACACGTGCCTCATATTTGGAAGTATTTAGCATCCAGGGACCCAAAACATCATCAAGCTTTGTTTAACTTGGCTTCCATTACTGTATACATCTGGAAGTCCTTTTAGTTGCAGCAACTAGGTATTTTTCAGGATGTTGCCTTATCCCTGAAGGACTGATGTGTTGAAAAGTTGTAGTACTTTCTCAATATAAAGAGTAGTTTCACATAAAAAGGATCTTTTCAAATCTAACTAGTGGTATTTTGTCCAGCATAGTCCTTCCCACACTGAACAACAGGATACTCTGGGAAACTACACACAGGAACATGTCCACATCATATTAATGCTGGTATTCAGTGTCATGCTGGCTCTGAACCATGTTTTGGAAGCAAATGCCGCAAAGTATTACATGCTGAGTAAGGAAGTTTTATTGTTGTTGTTTTTTGGAGGGCCAGAGGAATGTGAGTCCTTCCATCAGCCCAAACCTGAACAATCCACAGAACAGATTCATTTTTATACCATTGTGTAACTACAAAATGGCTGTCTAAGTGCCACAGACTTTGGAAAACACATTAATTGTTACACATACTTACATGCCATCAGTTTCCACCTGTAGCACACTGCCAAATCTATTGTTTAGAGCTGAAGCCTCCAATACAACCACATCTGGTCAGACACAGGACAGAGGGTCCATCTACACTGTAGTATTAAAGTAGCTTGACACCAGTTGAACTGATATAACTCAAAGCTATGCAGTCATGGCAGTTTTACAAGGTTTTTAGCCTTCTCTGCAAAATAGTTGCTGGTTTCTCATCAAACTACGACTCCCATGATTCCATCGCATTGAGCCACAGCAGTTAAAGTGGTGACAGACTGCATTAATTCTGTAGTGTAGATGCAGTCAGTCTGAAAATTTTTGGATTTGCAACAGGTACTTCTCAAACTACAATATCCATATAAGGAGATGATGAAATTAGCAACTCACAGTTTCATAGCGTTCTTTAAAATCCCTCTTTTATTTACAGTACCCTAGCCTCACATTAGATTCACATCTGTATATGTTACAGTCCTCAAATCTTTTCTTTGATTCGATTTTGCTATTTTAGTCCCTTACATGTATGTAAAGGCAGGATTCATTTATCCGATTTGCATCCCTTTATATCTCTATTCTATCAGCTGCGTTTATCTTTTTCTGGTTCACTCATCCAATCTGGAATGAAACCTATGGAACTTTTCATGTCTTTGTTTCCGTCAGTCTTTATCATTTGGTATCATTTATTAAACTAGACACTTCACTGCTCATTTCTTATTCCACATTTTTATGAATACTTGAGAACCACTGGTTTCTGCTATGTAAAAGCAACAAGGCCCAGAAGATTTGCTAATAGCTACAGAAATATATCTAATAACAGAAATATCTTTCATTACTACATAAACAGAGTGGATAATTAGGATAA